AGGGTGCAGGAGTCCATGGAGGGATGGACACTGGGAAGAGGTAACTATGGGGAGAAAGTGGGAGGGGAGCTGTTGCATTGTGGTAAACTGTGGTCAGTGTCATGAGACAAAGTATATGTAAACTGCTATATGGAAAGTGAATTTGCTCTGTAAATCTTCACCCAGACCACAATAATAAAAAAATTAAAAAAAAAAAAAAGAGCAAAGGAAGGCATTGCAGGCAGCAGCAGGGGGGATAGGAGTGAAACTTGCACACAGAGGCACATGCAGTCATTGAGCCTGGCAAGGAAGAGGGACAGTCTTACAGGCTCCCCAGCACCGTCCCCTAACATGGGTCTTATATAAAAGCTGGGGCCCTCAAGTCCACGGACTGACATTCTCAACCCAAATCCCTACCTCCACCACTCACACCCGCAGGCAGAGCACACCATCTGTTAAGTTGGGTTCCAGCTGGCTTCCTGTCAGCAGCTGTTCATATACTCTGACCCTGAGCTCTTCCTTCCCATGGGAGGTCAACAGTTTCTGCCCAGGGGAGAGCCTGGCCCAAAGTCACCTACCCAGCCAACCACAGCAGAGCTAGGCCCCACCATGGTCTCATGACTCCAAATCCAAAGCTTTTCTATCCACCCCTTCTTGCTTGTTCCAGCTCTGAGTTCTCTCCTCAACAAGCCTTTGTTGCACAGAAAATACAACAGACCCTGTTTGTGCAGAAGGCTAGCCAAAAGTCTTTGATTTGCTTTGAATTTATATGGCATCTTTCCAGTCAAGGCCACCCAGAGCTAATTAATGCAGTCACCACCCACCTCTAGGTGCCATTAAATTCATTTTATGGCTTAATTAAGAACAGCTGCCTTAATTTTATGAATGAGCAAAGGGAGGTTCCAACAGATGAACTTGCATGAAAAGTTCATGGGGCTGGGAATTAGGAGTCCCTGGCCATGTGTCCTTGGATATGTCATTTGGCTTCCCAGCACCTCCATTCCCTCCTAGATTTACCTGGGCAAGGGTTCCTGTATTGTTTGTTTCCCAATGTTTTTATAAATATAAAGTAAGAAAGTGAATGCCAAGGCACTTCAGGAACTTAGATGAAAGAATTCACTGAAGTCTTCCCTCTCCATCTTTCTCACCTGAGGTTCCTGTCTGTCAACATCAGCCAGGGCTGAACAGCAGGAAAAGTGAGGTCTCCACCAGAAGACAGGAACCAACTTCTTTCGAACATATTCCAGATATGGCCACATACATTATTCCTTCATTCTATTCTCACTAATTCTTTGTGACATCATTTTTATGGTTCTCATTTAACCCGTGAGGAGCTATGTCAGAGAGAATTGAAGGGATTTGCCCACGGCATTTCTGGGCTTTCTCTCAGAGCACACCAGGCTTTCTGATTCTGTGGCTTATCTTCTTTTCACAATACCATCTTGTCCCCAGTTCCAAGAGCATAGCAGGCCACTTTATAAACAGTGGGACTTGGGCAAGTCACTTCATTCCTTGGAGCCTCAGTTTCATTACCTATTAAGTGATTGTGATGACTATCCTACCTGTGCACAACTCAGAGGTAGGTATGAAAAGACTTTGAGGCAGGGCAGACCACACATGTTGGGGTTCTCTTGTCTTTGAGGGGGGCATGGCTGAGTCCACCTGGAATGCCAGCAGTCCTAGGACCATGGCTGAAGATTACAGCACTGAAGAGGATCTCCAGGCCCCTGCCAAGTTGCATCCTGCTCGGAAGCAGCTGAGAGAGTTTACACAGCTCCTCTTGAGGGAGCTGCTGAAGGTGGCTTCCTCCTCCAAGCAGTGGTTGCCACTGGAGGTGCTCCTGGAGGTGAGTCACAAGGGACTTTGCTTGGCCATGTGTTGTGGGAAAAGCCTGAGGAATGGGTGAGGGGGAGTGAGACCAAAGGTCTAGGTTTCTTGGGTGAGCTCATCCCAGTATTAAGTCATAGCTCAGCCTGAAGTAGTGTGGTGGTGAGGGGGTCCTCCTGAACCCCAAACCCTGGTATGGATGGAAGCTCATCAAACAACTGGCAAATAGATGAGTCCAGGAAGGCCTTAGCCAAGGTCTCTAGAAACAGCTCGAGGCAAGGATTTTGTGAAAGCTATTTATTGGTTTTATTTATTGGTGGTGGTGGTGGTAGGGTACTCTCAGGACAAGGAGAGGTGGGAAGCCAGAGTGGGCAGGGGAGAAGCTAACCAGGAGGTAGCCTCATCTGGAGACTGACTGCAGCCTAGACCCAAGGGAGCACAAATGTGTGCTACCTGTGCCATAAAGTTGGCCCCCACCTTGAAGCACCTTCCATGTGGTCATTGGCAGGCGGCTCTCCCTTAAATCCTCTTACCCCAGAAAATGGGTGTCACTTCCTGGGTAAGGCAGTTTGGTCAGTAGAGTCCTGCGCCCTAAGAAGAGGACAGTGATAAGCTGTAAGTAGTCCCTACTCATGGCAGCTAAGGGGTGGGTGCAGTGATAGGCAAGGGATACAGTGGGTAGCAGCAGCATCTGCTTCTGTGCCTGAGTGGATGTGATGACTATGTGACTGCTAGTCAGGGCCGACTCGACGGCACATAACAACAACAACAACAACTCCGCTTTGTGCTGGGCCTCCAGGCTTCTCCAGACAATGGCACTCGTCAACAGAAGCGAGACTTCCAGTCTGAGGTCCTGCTGTCTACCATGGAGATATTTCATGTTATGAGTGAAGGAAATGCACCGATCCTGGGAGGTAAGCAATAGGGACACGCCCCTACCTCTTCTGTGGCTAATGGCAGCTGAATAGGAAAGCAAGAGTGCCTTGCCAGCCCCAACTCACACCTTAGAGGATTACTGGAACTTTAGAAGCCATCTGATGCCACCTTCTGCCTTAGTTTTTGGTATCTTCCACGATATCTGCTCTGTGAGCTCATGGATGCATGAGTGCTCATAACACCTATTTCATTGTCAGGCCACTCTGAGATAGAAAGTTCTACAACCTCTAAGCTAAAGTCTCTTCTTCTCTAGCTTCAGTAGAAATTTAACTCCTTCCCAAAAGAGAAGTCAAGGCTTTAACAGGAGAGTGACATTCTTCTGCTCAGTGATTTACTCTTTGTTTTTTCTGTCCTGACACAGAATAGAAGCTCAACAGAGGTTTTGTTTTGTTTTGTTTTTTAAATGAAATAACCTGGATGAAGACTCTGTTGCTCCTAAGAATTTGAGGTTGAGGCTTCATCTAGGAATTCTAGGGAAACTGTATCTTCTTGACCAAGTTAAATAAAAGTCCTTTTTGTGGTTTCTGAGCTGTGAAAATCCCACATGACACAATTCATCTTCTGAACTACTCTACACTTTACAATCCTGGGACCCTCACATTGTGTTTTGTGTGTGTGTGTGTGTGTGTGTGTGTGAAGTATCTGGAGGGTGATGGAGAGCATGATTGAGAAATCTGAACTCTTTTGAGTTCTTCTTTTTTTTTTTTTTTTTTTAAAGCAATTTTCCTCCACTCCCCTTCTATCCTTGGTAACCAACAAAGAAAATTTCCTTCCATGTGTAAACTTTTCCTTAACTTTTTACAATAGTGGGCACATACACTATTTGTCCTTCTGTGATTGACTTATTTCACTCATCTTAATGTCCTTCAAGTTCATCCACATGATGAGGTGTTTCATGAATTCTTCATTATTCTTTAGTGTTTCATAGTATTCCATGTGTGTATGTAACCATAGTTTGGTTATCCATTCATCCATTGATGGGCACTTAGGAGTTTCCATTTCCTTGCTATTGTCAATAGTGCTGCAATGAACATGGCTGTGCATAAATCTGTGCCACAGCTCATTTCTCTGGGATATATACTTATCTTGTGGTGGGATTGCTGGATCAAACGGTATTGCTATTTCCAGATTTTTGAGGAAGCACCGTACCATGTTCCACAGTGGTTATACCATTTCACAGTCTCTGGGTTCACATCTTGACTCTGTCCCTGGAGAGCAGGGAACCTCTGGACAAGGGCCTGCCCCTGCAGAGGAAGGATGACGAAGTCTAGGTCATAGGATTATTGTGAAGATTGACAAAACAGTAACATACATGTCGGCACACAGTGCTGCTGTATTGGTTGGCACTGAGGCAGCAGCTTTATCCCTTTCTCAGCATAGTGGAAGGTCCTACATTCCCATACAACCTTCTCATTTACCATTTACCCTAAATTCACTCCCACCCTCTTTCCAGATGGCCACTGGAAGAAATGCTTCCCTTCACTTGCCATCTCCTCACTTGACTTTTACATCACTGACTAGATCATTCAAGATAGATTATTTCAAATAAATGTGTGTTCATTGGGCTTCTATTGTGTAAAAATCTCCATGTTTGAGAGCAATATCTCTGCCATGAGGAGTGACTTCTCATACTTGGATTTCTCTACACCCTAGGCAATAAGGATCCCCAGCCAAATGTAGAAGTTGCTGCTGCTCCATCCTTCACCAACATCTCCTACTTCACCCAGAAGCTGGTGGAGAAGCTGCAGAGTGGAATGTTCACAGCTGACCCCAGACACATCCTTCTGTTCATCACAGAGCACATCATGCTAGTAAGGACCCTGGGGCTGCCAAGGCCTGGCCTCAGCTGGCTGACCAGCAGTCCAGCTTTATGTGATTTCCTGGCTTTCTGGAAAAAGACTCTGAGACTGGAGAGTCTCTGGAGGAAGTAGTAGGAGTTTTATGGCCCAGGTTACTACTGGAAGCTATAAGGCCCTGTAGGGCTCTCCCTTGGGCCACCTGAGGTACATTTCTGTTACTGGGATCCTCATACCTGAGAGCTGCACCTTTTGGACTTGGGATTGTTGGTGTGGTAGTTGTGTCAACTTGGCTAGTGTGTGATTTTGAGTGGCTTGGCAGCTGGATGTAGTTATTCCCCATGATGAAGTTGGATGTAGTGTAATCACCTCCATGGTGGAATTTACTGTGAGCAGTTGATCAGTTGAAGGAGGGTTGTCTTCGGGGTGTGACCTACTTCAAGTATATATGGAAAGGATCCTACATTTGGTTTGTAATTCATCTTCTCTAGTCCCTGACCTGAACCAATGTCCTGCTGTGTGGCTTGCCAATCTTGGATTTATCAGCCTCAGCAGCCAGAAGCTGCATGAGCCAGAAGAAGCCTCCAGCTTGCGCCACTGGGCCTGGAAAGCAAAGCTGAAGCCCGAGCTTGACAGGCCTCCATCCAGCCCCTACTGCTAGCAGCGCTCTGAACTCACACTTCTAGCCTAGTCTTCCCCTAGAGCTGACTCTCTCAATTTACACTTCTAGCTTCCTGAACTGTAAGAGAATAAATTCTGTTTATTGAAGTCATCCACTTGTAGTATTTCTATTATAGCAGCACTAGAGAACTAAGACAGCTGGTTTAGTCTTAATCATTTTTATTCTTCATCAACAAAGAAAGGGCAAAAATGATCTGTATCTTCAAAAGGACAATTTAATTTCTTCCTTAGTGTCTGCTCCCTCTGTCATATTTGTGCCTTCTTGAAATCCAGGTCAGAGTATGTTTTTACCTAGACTCTCCGGGTTGATTTATAAACATCCCATATTTGCAAATACAAGCCTGTAGATGTACACTTCTATGTATGTGTGCACACACACACAGTTCACAATCTCAATATTTTAGATTTGAATGAGGCCTTTTCAGACTCTCATCTTCCATGGAGTGCTAGAAACCTTTTATGAGAAATTGTTGTTCACTCTTTGGTTGAAGCCTGTTGCTGATAGGGAGCTCATTATAGCAAAGGCTGCCCCACCAATTGGCTCCCCTGTGGTTGTTTGGAAGAGTTTTGTCTCGCCAAACTGAAATCTGCCTCTGGCAACTCTTGCCACCAGAGTTTGGTACTTGAGTTGCAGCAAGACCTAGAGGGTCTCTCTCCTTCTCTTTATAGAGCTTAGAGCTTCAGCTGTGATCTCAGGGACAAATGCAGACCCCTCATGCAAGCAGAGTGTGATGTCATCCTTGCTTCCTGTGCCCTAATGCCTGACATGTGAGGATGTCCATGTGTACCCCAGGACAGCCTCAGCACAATTCCCAGGGGCCTTGTCTGTCCAATCAATATCGGGGCCAGGCAGGCCTGAAAGAATATCTTCAGAAGGCTTCTTCAAGACTGACTCCAAGGGGGAGAAATATCCCTTGTCAACTTAAAGGGAGGTTAAAACCAGATGATTAGGAAGTTATGTTGAAAACAAAGTTGCTGCTCATCTCTTTAGAGAGTGGGAACAGATTCTTGAAACTCAGACGAAGCAGTGGGTGCTGACTGAGGCTGCATCTGCCATCCAGGGTGCCCAAGGCTCTCAACGTTCTTCACCTCAGTGTGAGAGATTGACCCCACTGAGGAGGGGGAGGACAGTGACAAAAATGGGACCCCCAAAAGCTAAGGAATCTAAACCAAACACAACTTTGTTATTACAACACTTGTAGTACCTATGATATTCTGAGTGGGCAATCTACCACTCCCCAAAAGACTTTCTAATAGACTGAAAAACATTTGCAATTCTTGTTCTATGAACTGTTTCCAATGATGTCAAAAGTAAGTATGACCCAGTCAGTGTTAAGGCTACAATCAGGACTTTCTGCCTCCCCATCTAAATTTCTCATGACCTAAAATCCATTAGATCCCCTTCTCCTTTAGATAGCTTCTCTTTCCATGGTATGCTATAGCCTGATGGTTAAGAGCATGGGTATGGGTCTGAGGACCTCTTCTGACACTTGCTGACCACCTCTCTGATCCTTGGTCTCCTTATCCCTAACTAAGGTAATCTCAATGTATACTTCATGGTGTGGTTTTGAGGTTTAATTGATGCAATATATGTAAATATATGCAAAATGCTTGGCTTGTTATCTGCAACTTTGTTAACACACAATGTATGTTAATTATTTTAAAATATTATTATAAAATACTAAATATTAACAAGAATAGTTGGAGTAGAGTCTGACTCATGGCAACCCTGAGTGTAACAGTAGAACTGTGCTCCATAAGCACTTTCAATGCCTGAGAATTTGAAAGTAAATTGCCAGGCCTTTCTTTTGTTTCAAAAATTAGGCTCTATTAATAGCATGCCTTCAAACACTGGATGTTGGCCTTGTTACTTGTTTTTCAGAAATTTCTTATCCCTAGGCCTGTTTTCCATTGTGTGACCCTGGTGAACTTTAAAAAGAATTCTTTTTATTTTCACACAAGTTTTTTTTGTAAACTGAAATGCTTGAATTGGCCTTATTGATTGTTCATTTATATAGAACATTAAGCGTAGAGGGAACTAGTCCATTTGCATTTTAGAAATGTGATCCTTTTTTTCTTTTTGATCTCACCATTTTTACACTTGACTAGGTCAGTACCTAAATCACAAAGTGTTCACAAGAATATGTGAATATGTCTTTTACTTTTATGACATAGGTCATCGAGAATGCCTCTTCTCAAAGGGAAGCCGTCCTCAGCGCTTTGTACAGCAGTTTGAATAAAGTCATCCTGTATTGCCTTTCCAAGCCCTGGCAGTCCCTCTCTGAATGCCTCAGCCTTCTCAGCAGCCTGAACTTTCTGCAGGAGCACTGGGACATTGTCTTTGCCACCTACAATTCAAACATCAGCTTCCTCCTGTGTCTCATGCACTGCTTTTTGCTGCTCAATACAAGAAGGTAAGACCCATCTGTTTGTTTCCTTGCTCAGCGGTAGTAAGCACGGAAAAGCTAGCTTTCGAGGGACCCTTGATTGAGGTATTAATGACATAATCATTTTGTTGATCTTATTTGCAATGTTTGATTATATAGTAAGTTGTCCCCAAATTCTTCATGTAGTAAGCGGCTAGAATCATCATGAAATAATAATTTACCCTGTTTCCTCAATTCTAAGACACCACTAGTTGTAAGCTATCTCATTGATTTAATTTTTGAGGCAGAAAAAAATCCAATATTAAGTACACATATTGATTTTATGATGCAGCCAGATTTTAGAAACATTAACATTTGATAAATGTAATCTTAGAATGGAAAAAATACATAATATATTTTATTATGTAAACTAAGAATAATTTTTCTTACAAAAAGGATATATACATATGCATCTGTGCACACACACTATATATACAGTGAAACCTATGCAGTAAGGGTCAGAACTCAACAGAACTGTCTTGTTTTTCTGAGTCTCACAAGTTTTCTGCCTTTTACAGGGTGTATGTAGTCTATCACTTGTCTATCGCTCTCTATTAGTGGAAAATATTTGAGTTTTCTGTCTCTGACAGATTTTCACCTTACACAGGTGCCAGCTTTTACAGATTTTACTGTGCCTTATACTATATATATATATATATATTATATATATATGTGTATTATGTTATATATATATTCACTGTGTATTATACACAAGGAGCTCTAGTGGTGTAGTGCTTAAGGCATTGGACTGCTAGCCAGAAAGTTGGTAGTTCAAACCCACCAGCCACTCTGTGGAAGGAAGACTGGATAATCTACTTCCATAAAGATTTTCAGCCTCAGAAACCCAAAGGGGGTCACTAGGAGCTGGAATCAACTCGATGGCAGTGAGTTTTTTTTTCATTGTTGTTGTTTGTTTGTTGGTTTACATCTCAAGAATTAGTGACACAAATGGTAAGTGCTAGGCTACCAAAATGTTGGTATTTCAAACTCATCTCAGAGGCACCTCAGAAGTGAGGCCTGGCAATCTGCTTCTGAAAGGTAACAGCCTTGAAAACTCTATGGAACAATTCTACTCTGCAGACTTGGAGTTGCCATGAGTTGGAATTGACTCAAAGGCAGCTAACAACATAAAAACAGCATAGGTAAGTAATGTGGCATGCTGATTAATTTATGTGCTTGAAATTGCATCCTCTTCAGATTCCATTCCTCTATTTAGTAGAATGGCCCCAAATTCAAAGGGTGAGTGTAGTACTACTTTATTCTAGAAATGTTGAGAATGAATATTCTCATATGTTGGTATTTTTCATTTCCGTGTTTGTCAATACAATCCACAAACACTGGATTGTGCCTATTGTACTCATGATGCTGAAGGAGTCTCTAGGGAAGGGAATGCATGGACATTAACATGACTCAAACTCCAGGAGTACATAGTCAACAGGGTGCCTGCTATATATACTGCGATGTATACACTTAGAACTGGCAACATAAGATGTGGGATTCTTAGCAAAATTAAAATGTGGACGTTGTTAAAAGTTACTAAGAGTTTAAAGTTGGTGACTTCAGAGCACTAAACCAAGGCCCCTTCTGAATTTGGGCCCACTGTGTGTCTGTCCAGGTGACATGCCAATGAAGCTAGCCTCTGGCCTCATTCAAACCAGGATGAAATCCGTGCCAAAGGAAGGCATGTTTCAATGCTTTGGGGTGCACAAATGACCAGTTTTGATGGTAGAGAAACCAAGAGAAAATTCAGGGAGCCTGTAGGGAGAATGGATAGTATTTAGTAAGACAGGATTAAAGAAAAGTGTTTCTCCTTTTTTTCCAAAATAACATTATATAATATCTGTACTGGAAATTATCTTAAGGTGTTAATTTTAACAAGATTCTAATCTTTTCCAAGTTGATATCAGCTTGGAAAAGTTGATATCTACTGAGTTTGGGGGATACATATCAATAATAAAGAGTAATAGAATGATCACAAAGAGTCTAGAATTTATAATGAACAGTTTCTTTTCTACCAGCTATCCAGAAGGATTTGGATTGGAACCCAAGCCTAGAATGACTCCTTATCATCAAGTCTTTCTTTCCCCAAATGAAGAAGTGAGAGAAAAAAGAGGAGAAGATTACTCAAGTTTGACTGATGGTACATATTATTTGTTCTCTATTTTTGGGAGGTGGATGAGATAGTGGTATAAAAGGTTGTAAGGAATCCCGGAAAAATGCACAAGTGCAGAAATGTAATGTGGCAGAGAATAAAATTGGAAAGCTCTTTGCATATTAGAAATGGAATGGAATGGATGGAAGGATGGATGGATGGATGGATTAAAAAAAAGAGAAAGCTGTGTGGGGCTTAGTTAGACTAGGAACTTTGTGTATTTATTGGAACCCCAGAGGCCCTAACTATAATATTTTTTTTTGAACCACTGTTGTTATGTGCCGTCGAGTTGGACCCGACTCATAGTGACCCCTCCTTGGGTTTCCGAGGCAGTATCACTATGGAAGTAGATTGCCCCATCTTTCTTCTGAGGAGTGGTCACTGGGTTTGAACCACCAGCCTTCTGGTTAGCACTCAGATGCCTTAGGCACTATGCGACCAGAGAACCACTGTTGTTGTTGTTGTTATGTGCCGTCGAGTTGGACCCAACTCATAGCGACCCTCCTTGGGTTGCCGAGGCAGTATCACTATGGAAGTAGATTGCCCAACCTTCCTTCCGAGGAGTGGCTGGTGGGTTTGAACCGCCAGTTTTCTGGTTAGCAGTCAAGT